AATATGAATGAATAATTCAATACAATATTACAAAATAGAGTTATGGAACAATGAGATAAAAGCTACTTGGACCATGCAGGAGAATGATTTCTTGATAAACAGCCAAATCTGAAAAAAGTTGATTACAAAAAATCAATAGTTGTCAAAAAATGATTTGGTTACATTTCTAACACTGATGTGTTATTACAGAAAAAACCTTCTGGCAGCTAATGGGAAAACACAACAACGTCTTACTGATTATTGAACTACATAAAAAAAAAAAACTTTTATGATAAAAAATGCAATGATGTTGTAAATCAATGTCCAAGATTTTAAATTAAAACAATATTTTCTTATTTCAAAGAAAGGTCCAGCAGCTAATAGAACTGTGCAGCGGGTCGATTTTTTACAATTCAGGACACTTTTATTGGCCAAGATGATTTTAAAAAGTCAAGTTTGTTCAAATAAATTTTTTTCTTTATGTAAATCATGTGTTTTCTCTGAACGAAAACATAAAGAATGAAAAAGTCAACATATGGAGATTAAAATTTTTGTTATTCCTTAGATGCCTAATGTCCCTTATTTTCCCCAAATTATACCAATTTAATTTGAAATCCAAATGAAAGTAAAAACACTGCATTTTTTGACCAACTGGTATAAATTCAGAGATTAATGAGTTAAAATAATGCATACAGACCCAAACATGGGGGGGTCAGACAGCTCTGTGTCTCCCTCTCTGGTCCGCTGCAGTGAGAGCCGTTGTTTCGAGGTGGGGGGTTGATGCAGGCTCGAGTTCGAACATGTGTGCCCCGACCACAGGTCACTGAGCAGTCAGACCACACCGACCAGGGGGTCCAGGAACCATCCACTGTAAAAACCACAGAGTTTTAGTCTGTATGACAACCTAACACGGGTGCAGCTCCATCAGAAGGTAACAATCTCACCTGGAAAAATAGAAATAAAGTTACAAAAAAATGTTTTTTAATGATTTTAATCTCACATTGTTCTGAAAATATGTTACTGTGACAAAACTAAGAACTTGTAAAATGATTCTGTTATACTAATGTGTAAAATGTAGCAAACAGGGGCGGAGTTAGGAAATTTGGGGCCCTAGGCAAAGACAGGCAGGGGGCCCTCTGAATTGAGAAGACGACACATAAAACAGAGCCATTCTACAGATAGAGAAATGTTAATAGAACAGACATCCATTGTTTGCTCTATGTTTTGTCCCTTTTCTTCTTGTTTTCATCTCTATGTTTTGTACTCAGCTGACTTTTCATGCTGTCTTAAAAGGAATGAAAGATTTTTTCCAAGCACTAAGCTCACTTAGCTGATTGCTCCTTCCTGTGTTTCCAAAAAGGCGACGGCAAAAGTAAATAACCCAATCCTGAGACGCACTTAATATTATAAGCGTTCCGATGTTCTGATGCATTTAAGTGAAAGGAGTTTATCAAAGACATAATTAATTTGCACAAATAAGTAATAGTTGTATTAACCATACATATAAACAGAGTTTTATGGGGCCCCAACTGCCTAGTATTGCCTAATGGTAAATCCCCCCCTGGTAACAAATGGCAACCAGAAGTGTTTCTGTATTAGCGATAAAAGAGCATGGCGCCTGGGTCCTGGAGGGTTTGAGTTCATCTCCCACAGACTGCCACTCTGGGTCCTTGAGTAGGACCCTTGACCCCAGACTGCTCCCTGGTGGTAGTGCTCCACCCGTTAAATTATGCGTTTTTTTCCACCTATTGATGTACGTTTTATACGAGTGCCTGACCCAGTGCAGGAAGCAGGATATAAGCTAGTGGTGGGATGTTAACAGCAGACTCTTATCAGATGATAAAAAATATACTTCCACCTTGATATTTTAGCCCGGAAGTATATCTAGAGGTGAGAAGGAATCCGTCTTCCAAGCTGTGTAGCCTCCTGTGATGTAACCACATCAAATGTGACGTGCTGAGATGGATGCAGCTATAAGCAGAGCTCTATCAGCCAAGCAAACCAAGCTCCTCGCTCAGTGGATAGCCACAAGCTGCCAGCCCATCAGCATGGCTGCTGGGCTCCAGGTCGTGCTCCGGTCAGCCAAATGTGACTCACCTTACAATCTACCTGCAAGGCGAGCTATCATGAGGAGAATTCATGACCAGCACGCCGCGGGGAAAGCTGCGAAAGATGAGAAGTTGAGGCGTTTGTTTGAGATTTTTGGAGACAGTGTATTGATAAAGGGGGGAATCTATAATCTGATGTGGGACTCTATTTTTTTTTCTTTTAAAAAATTAACAAAAAAAGTATAACTGTCAAAATCTTAAGTAAGAAGATGAAATTAGGTCTGATTTTGCAAACGTTAAAAAAGTAAACCTTTTCTCTTAAATTCTGGAGGTAGAACACATATCATGAATGCCTTTGGCAGAATTCAAAGGAGAGATGTTAATCTAGATTAATTCCAAGATTACAGTGAGATTAATCTAGATTTAAAAAATAATCTATGCCCACCACTAATATAATCATTCACTACAGTAAATATAGTTTTTAATTAAGTCTTTTTTTCCCCTCTGAAACTGTTGCACTACAATAATTACCTAATTACCACAAATTTGAAATGCAAGTTCTCCAGATAATACAACTGTTCTGATTTACATTCTTCAAGGTCTGTTGTCCTGTAACTTTGAGATTAATCTCTGTTTTAATATTTAGGTCATTAGCAGGACTTTGGAGAGCTTGACTGCATGCTGAGGAGGTGTGTGGCCAGAGACACGTCTGATAGGTGCAGGACATCAAACCTCCAGGAATACTATAAACACTGCAAAAATGATCTAGAAATAAGTAAAAATTTCTTAAATGAAGTGTATTCACCCTTAATTTGAGTAAGTAAATTAGATAGTTTGCCAACGGAATGAGTAGTTTTAGTCTTAAACTAAGATAATTAGATAATATGCACTTAAAATAAGACAATGCAATCGTGTTTTCTTATTTTAAATGTAAATTATCTTAGGCAAAATGTCTCTTTTACCTCCTCAATCCAAGAAAATTGACTTATCTAGATTTAGATTTTTTGCAGTGAACCCTGTCGTAATGCGTCTGCCTCACATTATGCTGTGGATTCATGCAAAAAAAAAAAAAAAAATCATAGATTATATCATAATCTAAGGTTAAGGTTTGTTGTGCCTTAACAAAGTTTTAGCAACTGAGACGTTATAGCAGTGTTTCTTTTAAACCCTGGTCCTCAAGGCACCCTGCCCTGCATGTTTTAGATGTTTCCCAGCTTTCACACACCTGTTATCAATCGATAGCAGATTATCAGGCTTTGCTGAACTGCAATCATCTGAATCAGAAGCTCAGAAACATAAAAAACATGCAGAGCAGTGTGCCTTGAGGACCAGGGTTGAAAAACACTGCGTTATAGTAATTCACCATGGTTAAAAAAAAAGTCTTAGAGGAAAACCTGTGGGTCTATTTATAAAAACAAAAAAGGAGAAATTATTTATTTTTTTTTACATGAGAACCACCAACATTAAAAGGCAATCTGAAAAGCTTTATACATGAAAGTTTTTAGAATTTAAGGCTATCAGGGAGCACCATCTATACACTGACCAGACTAATCAGGCTACATTTTAGGATGCTTTAATTGATTCTCTATCTTTAGTCCAACTTGTGCACACTCTCTCACTACAGGGAACATAAGGACCTACCTCTGCAGTCCACATCTTGGCAGTAGACTCCCTCTGGGGTGCATGTGCTGCAAAGCAAAACGATACTTAAATAAAATAATGAAACTTTTGCAGAAGTTTCCTGACTCAATCTTTAACATTTTTATTCAGTTTATTTATTTTTCTGTCTCACCATTGCTGGCACTCCCCCTGCAGCCAGGTGTCTCCCACTCGCAGCTCTTGGTGGTGGTGAAGGCAGAGGGGGGGGCAGGGTCCTGGGTTGCAAGGTTTGTGTTGAACCTGCTCAAAGCTGCAGTCTGCTCCTTCACTCTCTGGGATCATGGATCTGACACCAGAACATTCAAACATTTTCTACCTTCTCTGTCTAACAGAAAGATAGCGAGTATCTAAGCAACAGATACGCAAACATTGTGAAGGATGAACACATCGCTCTTCATTACACTGGAAAAAATCGAAATCTAGATAAGTCATTTTTTCTTAAAATAACTGCATTTGTTCTTGGATTAAGGAGATAAAAGAGACATTTTGCTTAAGATAATTTAAATTTAAAGTAAGAAAACACGATTGCATTGTCTTATTTTAAATGCATGTTATCAACTTATCCTATTTTAAGAGTTAAAAAAAACTAAATCTCATTTACCTACTCAAATTAAGGGTAAATCCACTTAATTTAATACATTTTTACTTATTTCTAGGTCGTTTTTCCAGTGTAGAAACAGGCTACACTGCAAAAACAATCCAAAAATGAGTAAAAATGTCTTAAATGAACTGTTTTTACCCTTAATTTGAGCAGGTAAATAAGATGATTTGCCAATGGAATGAGTATTTTTACTCTTAAAATAAGATAATTAGATAATATGCACCTGAGATAAGACAATATCATTGTTTTTTTTTTTATTTTAGACATAAATTGTCTTGTTCCATTGACAAAATTTCTCACTGACCTCCTTAATCCATAATTTTAAGAAAAAAATGACTTATTGAGATTTAATTTTTTTTGCAGTGTACACTAATGTCTCATTTCCACTTCAAGTCAACAGACTAAAACTAACTAAACTGAACCAAATAAAACTATTTTACCGATACGGTACAAAATGTTAACCAACAACTTTAATCCTTGTAGAGTTTTAGAGATGTTGGAGTAAAAAAATTATTCCACATTAAGAGTAAATGCTGCTCTGGATGGCTTGGCTAAAAAAAGAAAAGAAAAAAAAATCTATTACATAATTTATTACATTAAATATTTTCAATCAGGCATGTAGAGCGTTGCCAAAATGTCACATTACTGTTGGGTGAGGAAAGAGTATAAAGAGTTTGATGGCCAGTGGAGGGAATTTATTTCTATTATTGTTGCAAGAAGAATTAAGAAAATTGTTTTTTGCTGTTTTTTATTTTATTTTATGCTTTTTAATGATTTTTGTACATTTATTTTTCAAAATGCATATTTCCATAACCATTTTTAATCAGATTTTATATTTAATTTATTTTTTAAATGTTTTTGCAGATTTGATATTCTATATTTTTTTATTTTTTTTTTATTTCTGTTGTTCAAGTTATCTCTTACAAAGAGCTTTTTGTCAATTAGGTCTTCTATAAAGGTGCAAGTCTTCTTTAATGATCAGAAAACACCTGAGGAGGGTAAAACTTAGAAAGATTAGAAGGACTTTTATCTAATCCTACAAATTTGTCTACAAATAAGGAAATCTGTTCAATAAGGATCAGTTAGACGGAACTCCTGACCTTTAAATGCTAAATATTAGTTAGAACGTGTTGGTTATGTATTTGTTTCCCTCACCTGTATCTGGTTCTGCGGCCCTGGTCACATGACACACTGCACTCTGCCCAGCTGGACCAGGGGCTCCAGGCGCAGGCGGGGAGACAGCTGTGATTGGTGCAGAGGAGCTGTCCGTCAGAGCAGCTGCAGTTGTTGCAGTCCACCTGGTGCAAGCTGCCGGCCGCCCACATGTGGCCCAGAGTGTCCACACAGTCGCACTGCCACGGCTCCACACACACGCCGTCCTGCTGCAACTGACCTGGACACACAAACCTGTTTGTTTACATTGATTTTATAGATTAGATTAGATTAGATTAGATTAGTTTAGCTTTATTGATCTCACGGCGGAGAAATTCACTGGTCACATATTGGCATAGTAATTAAAGAAGGTGCAAACAAGGAGGAAAAAGATGCATTAAGAATAAACAATATATATACAATATATCAAAGCATATGCAGTATATCAAGATTTTACGACCTAACCCAGACCCTAAACATTGACTGACTTTATTGATCTCACAGTAGAGAAAATTGACTCATTACATCAGCTCAAATAGTCAATAAAGAGAAGAAGAAGAAGAAGGTTGCAAGGAAGAAAAGGTGCATGGGATATATACAGTATATACAATGCATCCACATATGACAGCTTTTGTTTATTTTTTGTTTTTTATAGCAGGATTATTATACAGCCTTATTGTACAGGGTGTTTATTACCAGTATATACTCACTGGAAAAACAATCTAGAAATAAGTACAAATTTCTTAAATTTAGTGTATATATCCTTAATTCGAGTAGCTAAATGAGAAAGTTTGCCAATGGGATGAGTATTTTTACTCTTAAAATATGCTAATTAGATAATATGCACCTGAAATAAGACAATGCAATTGTGTTTTCTTATTTTAAGTGTAAATTGTCTTGTTCCATTGGCAAAATGTCTCTTTTACCTTCTTAATCCAAGAACAAATGCAATTATTTTAAGAAAAATGACTTATCTAGATCTTTATTTTTTCAAGTGCTGTACCTACACTAAACTAAATTCACACCTTAGTTCTAAACCTAACCCCAAACCAATGAAGAGAACTTTACCATATGGGAACCAGTTGAATGTCCCCATTAGTACCTGTAACTCCCAGCATGTATGAAAATTTACAAAACACTGTCCCCACATTGCAGATAAACAAACCCAGGCAGCACAACCTGCTGTGTTACCTAAAAGATAGATCAGATAATCCATGGGAGTGACACAGAGAGAAACTGTGGTCACATCTGCAAACTCTTTTATTTGAGAATAAGTGTTACAGTTTATTTCAATTTGTTTTTAAAAATTAAGCATTCAACTTATTATTATTGACATAAAAAAACTGTTTAAAAAATGTATAAATGTTTGAAATTTTCATGAAATATTTTCCCCAGTATTATAGCACTAATAACAGCAGCAGTTTCTGTCAGAGATCTGCTGTGTATCTTTGCTAAATGAAGTTCTAATCAGGACCGGTTCAGTAAAGGCTTCCCAGTTTCCAGTTTGCTCCAGAATGATGTGAAGGCATAAAAAAAAAGATCCTGAGAACCTCAGCTGCTTAAGAATAGTTTTTAACCATAACATTTGAGCTCAAATCTAAAAATGTCACAAAGGCAGAAGTCTATAAATGGGATCAATCGAACTGCAGACTGTATGGAAACACCAAAGTGCCACAAATTCATTAAAAATATAAAAGGGAAATATTTAGATTTTTAAATGTGAACATATCAATATAACTTCATTGGTCTGCATCAAATTAATTAAAAAAATAATTAAAACACTAATTAAAACACTAAGTATTTGCTATTGTTTGATATATATAGATACCCATTTTCCAAACACATCAATTTATTTTATCTTTTTATCAACCAAAAATTATTCTTGCTATGAGAAATGTAAGAATACTCATTTGAATTTTTACAGATAAACCCAGATTATTTTAACTATGCGTTTTAGTGCAGGAGGCACTAATAATATTTTTTTTTAAATTACATTTTTAGACATGATTTTACCAAATATTTGTTTAGAATTTTTATTTGATCCCTCATTACTACATTCATTGATTCATTAATCGAGACTTTTGTTTAGATATATTTTAATGTAGTTAGAAATTTTAAGGGCAACATTAAAGTTGGGAATAACGTGGATTCAATAAATGAAGAATCAGCTTTGATGGATACATTATGTATTTTTTTATTTGTTTCTTTTTATATTAGAAATTAAGTCTTTTTATATAAAGTCCTTTCATATTATGAATAAAGTCCTTTCCCTGGAAAAACAAACCACTCATAACAGCTTTTTGGGCCAGTTTGTCGTTTGCTTTATTTTCCATACAGACACAGTTAAAGCAGCCATCAAATATTTGAAAAAGCGTTTGAACAAAAGCTCCTTTCAGCAGCACTGATATAATGACTGACTGATGTCCTCTAAAGCAAACAGTCTTTTACAAGTTTGATTCGTGGAATAAAAGCAAAGAACAGACATAAAGTCAGACGGAGGGAATAAATGTGAAGCAGGTTCCGTACCTTTAGGGCAGCGGCAGCCCGGCTGACATTCGCTGCTGTCCTGGCACTCTATTCCCTGCTGGAGATCTGAGCAGCGCTGAGGACACTGGTTGGCACACGCCACAAACTCCTGGCCCGCTGGACACCCGGAGTCATCTACGGTACACAGACAGATGGTCATGAATTAGTTTCTTCAGGATGCTGCAGGCAGTTTCTACATAACGAGGCTCCCAGAGAACAACAAAGGCGACAAACATCAGAGCGTTATTCTGAATTAATGAGGATTAATTCATGGACAGGATGAGTGCGCTGAGAGGTCAGACTCATCTAGACTGTCAGTGGGTTTGACACACAGGTTCAGTCCAGCCTCACCGCAGGGTTTGGTGTTGCAGGGTTTAACCTGGTTCTTCTCCCCCACACATTTCCTCCCTCCGTTCTTTGGCGGGGGGCTGGAGCAGGAGCGCGTGCGGATGGAGCGCCCCCCTCCACAGAGCTGATCGCAGCGGGACCAGGGGCTCCACCTGGACCAGCCTCCATCCACTAGTTCAGAAAGACAGCGTCAGTCGTTGGGGTGAAACCTCGGAGTCACAGACAGCTCCACTCAGCACTGACCTCTGCAGGGCCTGATGTTGCAGAACCGATTCTCCAGGTTCCCTCCAACAATGTCTGCGCACCACGAGCCGTTTCCAGCTGGGGGGAAGAAGGTCCGGATCCTCTGCTGTTGGCCTACTCCACAGGAGCGAGAACAGGACCCCCACTGCCCCCACTCCATCCATGAGCAGTTCCTTTCTACACAGTCGGCTCTGACGCACAGCTCCCCTGGATAATGGTGAGAGTGATTGACAGGTTGGTTTGAATTGAATTGTGCTTAATTTGTTTGCAGCAAACATGTTTTCATTGATAAGTCAGGCTGTTATTATATCCTATTTCCTGTTCCTGCACCATTCACCCTACT